TTTTTTTTTTTTTTTTTGAGACAGGATCTCAGTCTGTTTCCCAGCCTAGAGTGCAGTGGTACGATCACAGCTTACTGCAGCCTTGACCTCCCGGGCTCCAGTGAGCCTCCTACCTCGGCCTCTTGAGTAGCTGGGACTATAGGCATGGACCACCACATCCAGCTAATTTTTGTATTTTTTTGTGGAGATGGGTTTCACCACGTTGGCCAGGCTGGTCTCAAACTCCTGGGCTCAAACAATCCATCTACCTCGGCCTCCCAGTGTGCTAGAATTACAGGTGTGAGCTACCATGCCCAGCCAATTACTAGTATTTTCTTACCTATTTAGAATAGTCAGGCATACCTCAAAATGGATTGAATCATTTCCAGCTGAGAGCTGGACAGGCTCTTTTTTTGTTGTTTTTGAGATGGACTCTCTCCCTCTGCTGTCCAGACTGGAGTGCGGTGGCACAATCTCGGCTCACTGCAATCTCCACCTCCCAGGTTCAAGTGATTCTCCTGGCTCAGCCTCCCGAGTCGCTGGGATTACAGGCATGCACCACCACGCCCAGCTGTATTTTGTATTTTTAGTAGAGATGGGTTTGCCATTTTGGTCAGGTTGGTCTTGAACTCCTGACCTCAAGTGATCCGCCTGCCTCGGCCTCCCAAAGTGCTAGGATTACAGGCGTGAGCCACCGCACTTGGCATGGACAGGAACTTTGGTGCAGGGATGGCCGGAATGGGAGTGTGCACCTCAAGGGGTATACAAGGTGATATGGTGGAGGAAGAAAATTTTAGAAATTCTATTAATACATTTTAATTCAAGAAAAGATCCATTTATATTGGTGTGATATTTAGATTGGCTTCAGCAGTCTCCTTCAATCTGTATGTCAGAGTGTCGTATGTCACATATGTATCTGAGTTACTCCACGGGAAAACCGGAAGGGATTTAGAGTCGTGTTCTCATGGGTTTGTTCATTTGTATGTTACCTCTTCAGTTAAAACTATTTCACTGTAAATGCACTTCTCTCATGAACGTTCTTTTCAAGGGTTTAAGAGGAACACTGCAAAGAAACTGAGCTGGAAATCATGTTCTTCATAACGCAGCCTAGCAGATGCAGCAGGTCCTGTCCGTGCCCACCCACCAGTCCTGGTTCTCTGGCCCACGACAGTTTCCAAACAGCCAGGGCTTCTGAGGGTGTCTTCTGGACGTCACAGCCTGCTGGGCTGCATGTGGGGCAAGCTGGGCTGTCCTTCAACCAGGGGCATTTGGTGCATAAACACCTGGATGTGCTCAGCCCTCAGTGAGAGGACACTGAGCTGTTTCTCAGAGTGGCCCCAGCAGGAGGCACTCCCAGATGCTTACAGCGATAACCTCTTCATGGACACATCACTTGCTGCCCTTCCTCCCTTCCATTCCTCACTTCCCACTTTCTCAGGGGCCTCCTGGGATGTCTCCCTCGTGAACAAGGCCTGTCTTAGGAACGTGTCAGCAGACAGTAAAAAGTCATCAGACAGCCCTTCAATGGTGTTTGCCCTTCAGCCACATTACGAAATTAAACAGGATGGCAGTTGTTCACACCCACACACCTGTACGCTCCCACTAAATATTTTATCATGAAAATATATATGTGTGTGTGTGTGTGTGTGTGTGTGTGTGTATATATATATATTTTTTTTTTTTTGAGACAGAGTCTCTACCACCCAGGCTGGAGTGTAGTGGTGTGATCTTGGCTCACTGCAACCTCCGCCTCCTGAGCTCAAGCGATTCTCCTGACTCAGCCTCCCAAGTAGCTGAGATTACAGGCGCCTGCCACCACAACTGGCTAATTTTTGTATTTTTATTAGAGACGGGGTTTCACCATGTTGGCCAGGCTGGTCTTGAACTCCTGACCTCGGGTGATCCACGCACCTCTGCCTCCCAAAGTGCTGGGATTAAGACTTGAGCCACCGAGCCTGGCCATGAATATATATATATTTTTAATAGTTCATCTTTTCTGAATTTTGTGTACTTTTATTATATGCAATACATGTTATACTTAAGTAATCTATAAGAATTTGTAAGTTGGGGAAATATGCTAATTTTCCCCCATCAGGGTGTATGGTCAGTACAATTCAGAATCTTTCTCTACTCTAGACTCCTACTTTCAGTTCTGCAGAAAAGATGTGAATATTCAGTTACCTTCCCTTTCAAGCTCTAAATTGTGCGTGCCAAGTGTGTATGAAAAACTCAGCAGCTCACAGCAGAAGTCTAGCCTTGAATATGATAGGATTTTCCATTTCCCCTTTCTATAAAAGAAGTGTTAATTTAATGGACTGTTATTCACAGATTTATAACTTATTCTTCAGGAACATGATTAAAAAATAATGAGCTTTCATATTAAATTATCAATTATATATTAATGTATCAGACTAAAGACTTCATTATCTTAAAAAGATTTGTTATTTGACATGTTGGAAGGAATTAAGAATACTGGCTAGGCCGGGCGCGGTGGCTCATGCCTGTAATTCCAGCACTTTGGGAGGCCGAGGTGGACGGATCACTTGAGGTCAGGAGTTCAAGACCAGCCTGGCCAACATGGTGAAATTCCGTCTCTACTAAAAATACAAAAATTAGCCGGGTGTGGTGGTGCACACCTGTAATCCCAGCTACTAGGGAGTCTGAGGCAAGAGAATTGCTTGAGCCCCAGAGGCAGAGGTTGCAGTGAGCTGAGATTGTGCCACTGCACTCCAGTCTGGGCAACAGAGTGAGACTGCATCTCAAAAAAAGAAAAGAAGAAAAGAATACCGGTTAATAAAAAAAAAAAAAGACTTATACACTAGAAATTTTAAGGCTGGCATGGTGGCTCACACCTGTAATCCCAGCACTTTGGGAAGCTGAGGCAGGTGGATCATTTCAGGTCAGGAGTTTGAGACCAGCCTTTCCAACATGGTAAAACCCCATCTCTACTAAAAATATTAAAAAAGTTAGCCAAGCAGTAGAGGCATGTGCCTGTAATCCTAGCTACTCGGGAGGCTGAGGCAGGAAAATTGCTTGAGCCTGGGAGGTGGAGGGTGGAGTAAGCCGAGATTGTGCCACTGCATTCCAGACTGGGCAACAGTAAGACCCTGTCTCAAAAAAATAGGAAAAAAAAAAAAATTTTAGCACTTGTAAAAAGAATTTACCTTATAAAGAGAAAGAGAGACACCACATTGTAAGTTACATATGTAGCAGACACCAGGGATGCAGGATAGAACCAGAAGAATAATAGAAGTGCATGTTTACAAATCTTAGAATATCCCATGTATTTATTTACCTGCAAACAACAACAACAACAAATGAGGATCATAAAATACTTTTCTTCTCAGGGTCATTTTAGTGTTCATTCATTCAGAATCTAGTGAAAAAAATACATGTGAAAAACAGTTCAGACATTCATTTCATATATACTATACAAAATAAGGTATGTGCCCTATCACTTGCTTCAAATATATAGTTTTCTGCTTTTAACTATAAGATGCTGTATGATCAATATCATTAATTTTTTATGTAGACTACTCTGTTATATACGGGTTATCTAAGAATGAGAGTGAAATAGACATTTTCAGATAAAGAAAAACAGAATTTACCACAAAAATTTCTTCACTAAAGGAACTTTTAAAAGATTATCCCAGAAAGTAAATCTGAGATGTCAGAAGTAATGATGAGTAAATGGTAAGTACTTGAGTAACTCTAAAGAAATATTTGGGAGGCCGAGACGGGCGGAT